GGCAGAGCGAGGGGGTGGTCCAGAGCCCCCGGTGCCCTGCGGCGAGAGGGCAGGTGGGGAACCGGCATGCGGGAGGACATTTGGGTAGCCGTGAGCGGCAGTGCTCCAGGCCTTCACCATCCTGGTGCTGCCAGCGCTGAGATCCTCGAGAAGGGATGTGGGGCTTTGGGGAGCGCAGGGAGGGATTTGCAGTCTGCCCACGGTCTGATCTCCAGAGGCAGCTGATGGCATCCTTTGGAGATGTCCACGGAGGTCCCGCTCCCTCCTACTGTCATGGGGAATGGAACGAGTCCAGTCATGGATCAGGTTGCCCAGGGAGGTTGTGCAGTCTCTATCCTTGGAGGTTTTCAGGGCCCAACTGGCATAAAGCCCTTAACCGCAGTGCTGACCCTCATTTGGGCAGGAAGGTGGACTGGAGAGCTCCCGAGGTCCCTGTTCACCTGAATTATTCTGTGATCGTGGTGATGCCCATGGGAACTGGCTGCAGAGGAAAGGCAGCCCAGCTCCCCACAGCCAGGCACGGGAGGAGAGGCAGCTGCAGAACAAGCCCAGGAGTGGCCACAGCGTTGGGGCACTGTGGTCGTGCTGTGGCTCCTCTGCGGCCATTGCCTCTGCCAGTCCTATCCCCAAGGTCATGGCTCTCCCAAGGGCTGCAGAGCTGAGTCTTATCACCTGGTTCTGCCAGGAGTGTGTGTGTGCGGTGGGCCCCCATGCGATGGAGCTCCCAATTTCACCTGGCACATCCCTGTGGTTCATAACCCCTCGTCCCAGAAATATCTTCCCCAGTTTGTGTGGCTCAGCTCCTGGACATGCTCTGACCTTGCCAGGCAAGGAGCCTGCTGGGCACCGGGGATGCTTGGATGGCTCCGAGTCACACCTCTGCCCCCAGGGGAGCTCAGCTGTCATTTCCCATGGCTTTGGTTCCTTACCTGCAGCTTCTGCCTCCAGTGTCCCAGCGTGGTGCAGACTAGGGACATCCAGGGCTTTGTGTCCTGCTTCTTGGGGAGAAGGGCCCCTGGCTACCCTGTTTGGGGACCTGTTTGACCCATCTCCAGGGGTGGCCAGTATGCAGAGGTGTGTGTTGGGGGCAGCAGCCCTGCTCTGGCTCAGCCGTACCTTGTGCTCGTCCCCTCTGATGCCGAGGTCCCTGCCCTGGATGTGGTCCCCATCTACAGGACTCGTTCTGTCTTCTCCATAGCTCCGTTAATAGAGCTGCTTGAGATGTCCCAGTGACCCTGGGTGTGTGAGCCGCTGCTGTTGAGCATCATCACAGATAGTTTTTGTTTATTTGCAGGTCCCTGAGGGAGTTGAATGTGTTGGACTCTGTGGGGGTCCCAGGGGAGCCATGGCCACGCTGTGTCGTCAGCAATGATTCCCCGCTGACAGGTACCTTGGGGTCAGAGGATGGGGCCGCTTAGGTCCCTGCTGGTGCTTCTTCGCTTGTGCTGTGCAGCCCCAACCATTTAGTCGAGGTGCCGCAGTGCTGATGCAGGAGCCGCGCGGTCCCAGGGTGTCTCCTTGTGGGCTGACCCTGCTGGCCGGACAGCTGATATCTGTGGGGTCGGTGCAGCCGTTGCTGCTGCTCTGGCTCCTGCTGTTCTGCCGGGCAGAGTCCGTGGTGACAGCAACAGTCATCCCAGACAGTGGTCCCACTGCCCTCCCCTGTGTTTGAGCACGTTCCTTCCTCTCCTCCTGCAGTATTTTTACAACTCTTTAACAACTGTTTAAATCCAATCTCAGCCCGGTTTCCATGAGCTCTTCAGTTACCGACTCACTGGAAAGTGTTTTATCACCTGGGGTGACCACGGTGCAGCACCTTGCTCGTTCACAGCAGAGTAGATGTAATCAGACTCCTCGATCTTACCTGAGCCATCGGTAATATCTGCCTCTTCCCACACCAGTGCTTCTGCTGTTCTAGCTGTGCTCAAAGGGAAAAAACAGTGGAGGCTGTTAGAGGTGGAGGGACTCAGTGGTGCTGTGGAGGTGTAAAGTGTAGGGTGCAACTTTCTGGGGTATAGATAAGGAAAGAGCAAGGAGATCAGTGGAGGCACTGGCTGTGCTGTTGGGAGGGATTATGGTGTGGCCCCGGACTACTTTGAGCTCTAAGTAAGGGAAAACTGTCAGATTTACCTCCTCTGTCTTGTAATCACCTGGCTTCTGGTCACTTAATTAACTGGCTTTTGGGTCCCTTAGCTTGGTTGTCTCTTCTACAAACTCAGCAGCAGCTTGGGTGATGCAGGTTGTCGTGCAGCACTTGGGACGTGGGGAGGCAGTGGTCAGAAGTGTCTCTTCCCCACAGGGCTCTGGGTCCTGCTGCATGGGTTGCAGGGCATGTGGAGAAGCTTTCTCCTCCCGGGACAGCTCAGGATCCAACCTTGGTGGAGGAAGCACTTTCTGGGTGGCAGTGAGACGTTCCCTGCTCTCCTGTGAGCTAGCGCTGAGGAGGAGTGAGTGACGGCAGTTTTGATTTGCCTCGAGTTTTCCTCTGGGCTCCCTCCAGCTCACCATTGCTAGGAGCTACCCCACGCAGGCTGCGCTTAGGGGCTTGTGTCCACAGCGGCAAGTGCTGGCATCCGGCTGGGCCAAGTCGGTGGCTCTTGTGCACTTGAACTCGAGTGGAAAGTCAGAGCTTCAGCCATGTCTGTCCTTGGAGAGGAGAGCCACGGAGACTCAGGGTGGGATTATTGTACTGCCCTGTCTAGAAACTGGTTGATACCACTGCCTTTCTTGCAAAGATCACCGTCTTCCCAGCCTTGGGGAATTTGGGAAGTCCTGTGTCTCTGTGCTTTGATGCTGAACTGAAGGAGATGGGATGGGGCAGGACAAAGCTGGCTCAGTGGCATGTGGGTGCCTGGAGATGGGCTGTGGTTGCTCCGCATGGAAGGGGGCAGCGGACGCAGGAGCAGAGAGAGGCAAGTGCCCCGGCCTGGGCGGTGGGCTGTGACCCACCAGAGGAGGGAGGATCTGGAACAGCCCCAGCTGGGGCAGGGGACCGAGGTCTCTGTGCTGCAGGGCTCATGCCAGGGCCAGGGCACTGCTGGTGGGGTCAGCCCTGCTGCCCAGGAGCCACAAGGACGGCTGGCCGGGACTGGGCTGACCTGGGGGCTTGTGAGGAACACTGTGGGCTTGTCCTGGCACTGCCGGGGTGTCTTCCATGGTGCGGACACGTGGACAGCCCTGGGGTCCAGCTGGGCAGCAAGGCCGGTCGGCAGGGCGGTGGTGGGGTTCTGTGGGTGCTGAGGGCCCGTTCCCGCGTCCAGGGCCCCGAGCTCACTCCCACGTGTGGTTCCTTCGCAGGCTGAGCGGTGCCGACTGCAGCTGGAGATGGTTCGGCTGATGCCTGCGGGGAGGATGCCGGCCCTGAGGCCCAGGGAGGAGCCTGGCCATGGGGGCTGCGCTGGGGCTGGCACCTCGCTGCTGCCCTCGGTAGCCCCACAGCAGCTGGCTGCCACCCTGACGGGCCACCATGGAGCGGCCCACGCGGGTGCCCGGGCCCCTCCGCCTCCTGGGCTTCTTTGAGCGGAAGCCACAGGCCGTCGGGGGGGAGATGTCGCCAGAACCGGAGCCGGAGCCAGAGGAACCTGCGGAGATGCACGTCGCGCTGCCCCTGGGCGAGGACGGGGAGCTGGTGGAGTGCCCCCTGGGCCTGCTGCCCCAGCCCCCCGAGGCCTTTCCCGCCCTGGCCTCCTGCGCCTACCGCTCGTGCCAGGCCTGCCTGCAGCAGTACCTGCGCATCGCCGTCAGCGAGAGCCGCGTGCAGGCGGCCTGCCCGCACTGCCCTGCCCCCCCCCATCCTGCCGATGTACACCGGCTCCTGGCCGAGCCCGCCCTCCGTGATAAGTACGAGGAGTTCCTCCTACGACGGCTGCTGGTGGCCGACCCCGGCACCCGCTGGTGCCCCGCGCCCGACTGCAGGTGACCGCTGGCCCCCAGTGAGGAGCCGGGAGCAGGGGGCGGCACAGGTCTCCCCTTCCTTCACCAGCGGAGGCAATGGGCTTCCCCAGCTGGGAGCTGGTGTGCGTTAGACTGCGGCTGTGTCCTGTGAGCCCTTTCCAGGCTCAGTTCCCTCGTGATTTGGCCCCGTGTGGGGTTGTGCCTGCTCAGAGAGATGTCCCGGTCCCTGTCCCGGCTGCAGAGCCTGGGCAGCCACATGTCTGTGCCAGGGTTGGTGCTCTTGTCCATGCCGGACCAGTCCGCGAGGCCCCGGGGGAGTGGTGCGGGTGCTGGACAGGGAAGGGAAGGCTGTGCTGTGGTCTGAGCCGGTGAAAGTGTCTCGTGGCTCTCCTGAGCAGGGGCTGCAGCTCTGGCTCGGTGCGGAGCTGGGCCCTGCCGCTGCAGGGCCTGGCTGTGTGCCGGGGAGAACGGCTGTGCGGGGATGCAGGGAGGGCTGTGGGCACCGCTGGCACCCCCAACACTGACCGCCTTCTCCCCCCAGCTACGCTGTCATCGCCTACGGCTGGGCCGAGTGTCCCCGCCTCACCTGCGGACGCGAGGGCTGTGGCACGGAGTTCTGCTACCACTGCCGGCAGCCCTGGCACCCCGATGGCCCCTGTGCCCCAGCGCCGCCGGCCCCCAGCCTGGCCGACCCTGCAGCACAGCTAGTCCACCTGGAGGACTCAGCCCATGGTGAGGAGGGTGGGAGCAAGCAGGACAGGGATTTGGCACAGTTGGATGCCTTTGTACCTTCCTGCCTGCAGGGACGCTGGAGCCAGGACCCAGCGGTTCCCACTGGCTGCCTCTGTGTGGGGACACGTGCCAGTGGAGCTGGGGGTGTGGAGTGGGACCTTGCTGTGCCTGGTTCACCCTGACACCCGTGGGATGGGCTGCAATTCGGGGAGAGGGTGTGGGGGTGAACCTGCACTGTCCTGTCCTGCTCCCCCCCATCCCGTCTCATCTCCTTCCCCCCGCCAGCTGAGGCTGAGGACATCAAAGTCTGTCCCCGCTGCAGTGCCTTTATCATGAAGATCAACGACGGGAGCTGCAACCGCATGAACTGCACAGTTTGTGGCTGCCTCTTCTGCTGGCTCTGCCTGCAGGAGATCTCTGATGTGCACTTCTTGAGGTCAGTGCAGCACTGTGGGGCCACTGGGAGCCGCGGGGTGTGCTGGGGAGCTGGGGCGGAGGGGCTGCCAGGAGCTGAGGTGGGGGGGGAAGAGCTGCCCCGGGGCTGAGCTGTGGGAGCTGTGATGCTGGGCCGGGGCTGGGGACCTTGCCAGGAGCTGTGGGGCTAGGACGGGGGCAGCTGAGAGCCATGGTCACGCACAGCTGGGTTTGGGGATGGCTGGGCTGTGGGACTGGTCGGGGGGGAGCAGAGGGGTCTGTGCCGCTGGGTCTGTCAGGGCTGGGGGCCTGGGGCCGGCTGTCAGCACCCCACAGGCGGGGTCCCAGGTGGCAGCCAGAGATTGGGATCGGGATGGGGGAATCCGGCTTTCTGCTCCCCTGGTGGGCCTGCGGGTGTCCCCCCAGCGCAAGGTCGGGCTGCGCTGGTGTCTGCCTGCCTCTGCGCGGGCACCCTTGGCCCAGCCCCGCTCTGTCCCCGCAGCCCCTCTGGCTGCACCTTCTGGGGGAAGAGGCCTTGGTCACGGACACGGAAGATCCTGTGGCAGCTGGGCATGGTGCTGGGGGCGCCTATGGTGATCTCCCTCGTCGCGGGCATCGCTGTCCCTGTCATTACCATTGGGATCCCCATCTACATGGGTAGGAAGGTACTGGCAGGGGTCCCTGGAGTCCCCATGGTCCCACTCCCCGCTGAGCCTGGCAGCCCATGGCCTCGGGCCTGGACAGACACCCAGTGCTCACCGCTGTCCACAGCGTGTCCTTGTGCCACCCCTGACTCCCCACAGCCCCTCCTTGAGGGAACCCTCTCTGCTGCCCACCCTGGCACCCTCCACCAGTGAGGTTACTCTGGGTGGGGGTTGGGGTGGGCGAAAAGAGGAGGGGGTCTGGGGGTCCAGGGGTGTTAACCAGGGACACCTGAGCTGTGATAGCGGCGCTGTCGTGGCTGCCTGTCCCTGAGGAGATGGAGGGGGTGTCCAGGCAGCTGCAGCTGCAGTGAGAGCTCTGCTAGGGCTGGGAAGAGGCCCCATCCCTCGGGGCTGTGCGTGGAGGTCCCTTCATAGCCCTTCACCTGTCTTGCTTCTCCTCGAGGTGCTGGGCCAGAGCCGGAGGAGCAGCCTGTCGGGGTGCCAGCAGTGCCTCTCCGTCACCAGCAGTGTCCTCCTCTCTCTCTTTGTGTCCCCCATCATCACAGCTGTCACTGTGGGTAAGCGCGCCGGGCCAGGGCTGAGGGCTCTGCCCATGTGCTGGGGGCCGCTGCAGCAGAGCGTCTCCGAGGGGATGTCTGTGACCTGGGGTGTCAGGGCTTCGCCCAGGGGGGCAGGACAGCCGGGGCGGCTGGGGGG